AATGTTCTTCCTCTACACCCACCCCCCCCCCCCCCCCCCCTCAATTTTTTTGCACATGTCGAGGAGCGTGTCAGGCTACATTTCACTGTGTGTTATACTTGTATAACTATGCATGTGACAAATAAAGAACCTTGAACCTTGAACCTTACTTCAGAAAGTAGGCGAGACCTTGCTCGACTGGTACACCTGCCGGCTTTTACCTTTTCCTAAGGAATCCCAACAATTAAATGATACCCACGGTGGGCTTTTGTAATCCTGAACACATTCAAACAATTAGCCAGCTGCTGAAAAGACGGAGCGGGTCTGTGCGACTGGTTTTAGAAGTATCACTGCAGCATTTATTTTCTAAAGAGCTGAATGTTATTTGCGACCATCTGTTGTGTTAAAAACTACTCTGAAACCATGAAACCCCTTACAGGAGAAATGCCCGTTTGATCCGTTTTTAAATAAATAAAATGCTTGCATCGCTGCAAGGTGTGACATCCGAATCACAAAATGAGTGTGATTAAAACACGATTAGCTTGATAAGAGCGATACTGGTTGCTTTGGGGGGAAAGGTGACATGGTGTGCAACGTGTTTTAGAAGTAGCCCAATAGCATTTATTTTCTAAAGGACTGAATGTTATTTGTGACCATTTACTGTGTTAAAAACTAGCTGGCTTTGTCTCACTCTTAGTTCAACATTCTGAAATCCCGATTTTTAAATAAAACGATCGCATCAACCCTGGAAAGAAACCCCAGTAGATGCATAAAAACTAGTTAAATTAAAACTAGTGGTTTGATGAAATGAAATGGCATCACTGCAAGCTGAGATATTGTCAGAATCACAAAATTAGTGTGACTAAAACACCAACACTTTTGACTAGATGTAAATGAAAAGCAGCCCCTCTTTGTTAAGGTGCACTGTGAACCAAGCAGTGTTGGGGAGTAACGGAATACATGTACCGCCGTTACGTATTTAAAATACAAAATATGAGTAACTGTATTCCGTTACAGTTACCGTTTAAAAAGGTGGTATTTAGAATACAGTTTCTTTGTTGAAATAAATGGATTACACTGCGGTACTTTCCTGTTTCATGTTGTGGCGGGTCAGGACTGTTTGGGTTTTGTTTGACAGCTACGTTCTGTTGTTCCAGGCGGCAGCGTTATGGTTGCCATGGTTACAGGGTGACGCTCTCTCTCTGTGTGTTTCCTGGGTGAGAGAGCGCCTTTTTGTTGTTGTTGTTGTTGTTGTGCTAAGCTAACAGGCAGAATGCTACAAGCATAGCTCTAAAGAATGTAGCATCATAGGCAGTGTAGTCCGTGCTGCAGGGAGAATGGACTGCCATACATGTTATGTGTCTGTGAGCGAGGAGGGAGAAAAAGGAAAAGTACGAGCTGTCATCGAGCAGAAACGGGAGCTGGAAGCATGTAAATATAATAATAACCACTGCAGCCAAACAGAGAGTCTGACGAGCCCAGTTGTAAGTAAGCTATTAAGACTCGACTGTACGCTGTGTTCGTGTTTTCCTCCGAAACAATAAGTTCCGTTGGAGCAGCCTTTCAACGCCTCTCTCTGTCTCTCGCTAGCAAAGTTGACCCACACAACAAAGTAAAGCTATTTTTCGGCTACGAGCCGACACGAACCCGACGTATCAGCCAGAGGTCCCTTAACTACGGTTCAGAGCCGCGGACCTTCAGTAATAGTAATAAATCACACAGCAATAGTACATTCACGTAGTTGTAAAAATGCATGATAATATATTAAGTAATCCAAAGTATTCAGAATACGTTACTGTCATTGAGTAACGTAACGGAATACGTTACAGAATACATTTTGGGGCATGTAATCTGTATTCTGTAATGGAATACATTTTAAAAGTAACCTTCCCAACACTGGAACCAAAACAGCTTCCACTCCGCCTGCAAAACAAAGAATTGCTTTTAAGAAGACATATGTCTGCATAACTGAATGTTGAGACACACCTAAGTGATAAAAATAGTTTAATTAAAAAAACCCTATGGTTTGATTAAATTAAAACCCAGTTAAAAACACATAAACTCATATAACCCCTCTGACGCCCTGTGTGTTTCCACACCTGAACGCGCACACGCACGAAACCGGTTTGGTTGGCCGCCATCTTGGACTAATGCCCCCTTATTACTACTGACCTCAGCCCATAACACTCCTGCAGACACACCTGTAGAGGAGAGTATAAAGACCTGCGACTCAACTGTGTCAGACATGCTGTGTGATGTCAGGTCTGTGGACGGATCAACACAGTTACTTTACTGGGTGGGACGTGTTTAACCACAAAGCTTAAACAAACCAAAACTAAACTATTTCTATGATTAAAAAGTGGAATCAGTGGAGGGCACAAAGAACACGTCATGTTGTACCCACGGGGAAACAGCTACAATATTTAGATGAAATGCAAATAAAACCATTCACAATATTTACATCATCTTCACTGTGAAAGACAACACCAGGGTGTCCCAGAAAACGGATCAATTTTTTGATTATAAAGAATTAAACGCTTGTTGAACAAAGTTATTATAGTTTTGTATTTCTGTGATAAATATTTTTTAGCTTAATTTTTAATTGTTTCTGTCTTGCTAGTTCATGACAGCTTCTTTCTGTCATGAACTAGCATGCCCCGAGCACACCTGAACGGGCACACGCATGAAACCATCAAACCGGTTGTCAAACCGGTTTGGTTGGCTGCCATCTTGGACTAATGCCCCCTTATTACTACTGACCTCAGCCCATAACCCTCCTGCAGACACACCTGTAGAGGAGAGTATAAAGACCTGCGACTCAACTGTGTCAGACACGAAGCTCCGAGGAGTCTCTCCACAGCAGCTCTGCAAAGAAGCTCCACAGCTACCAGACCCACTCTGAAGATGAGTCCCTCTGTCAGCCTGCTGCTCCTGCTCGGCCTCTCTCAGGCTCATCCTCTCATGGAGGAAAGAGGAGGAGGAGAGGGCCAGGTGGAGGAAGACCACACCGTCGATATCACCACCAGGATTCTGACCGCAAACAATGGCAGCAACGAGATCCTGCTGGAAGGAGACATCCTGCTTCCAAAAAGCAGAAATGCCATTAAATGCCAGAGTTACCAGAGCTGCCTGTGGCAGAAAGACAACAACGGCCTGGTGACGGTTCCCTTCACCATCAGCAGTGAGTACAGCAGCGGGGAAAGGCAGCTGATCAGAAATGCCTTGCAGTCCTTCCACAGCCAGACCTGTGTCCGCTTTGTCGACCGTAAGGACCAGAACGACTACATCAGCATCGAGAGCCAGAACGGATGCTTCTCTCCTCTGGGCAGACAGGGAGGGAAGCAGGTTCTGTCTCTCAACAGGCAGGGCTGCGTCTACTTTGGCGTCGTCCAGCACGAGGTCAACCACGCTCTGGGCTTCCAGCACGAGCAGACCAGGAGCGACCGCGACTACTACGTCAGGATCAACTGGGAGAACATCGACCCGCAGATGGCCTACAACTTCGACAAGCAGGACACCAACAACCTCAACACTCCCTACGACTACTCCTCCATAATGCACTATGAAAGAACAGCCTTCTCCATCAATGGCAGGGAAACCATCTCCCCCATCCCCAACCGCAACGTCCAGATTGGCCAGAGGCAGGGCATGTCCTACTGGGACATCAGGAGGATCAACCTGCTGTACGGCTGCTGAAAACACACGTTAGCTTGTCTGATTAGAAGTTTTCATTTGTTCCCAAAGGTTCTTCCACTTATGTGTTCACAAGTGTTTTATAGGGAGATAATGAGCTGTAAGGTCAAACACATAAAGTGCATTAAAATGGTACGCTGGATATTAGTGATTCATTTCCTCGCCAATACTTGTTTCATTCTTTATGATTTGTCTTTTCTTACCTCATCCTTTCTACTTTTTCTTCCACCAATCCGTATCTACAGTCAGGCTTGTGGAAATGTCCTCCTCAATGCATCACTATTCAAAAAACTATATGATGCAAATACAGTGTGATAATATGCACAGAGAGCTCTCGTGTTAATTATAGATGAAAATAATTCATTTTAATACTCCTTTACTTTTGTGAAGGTCAAATCAAAGGTTGCGAGTCTTCTTTAGCTGTGCAACTCAGCAAACATATACACATGCAGGAGGGCTGAAAGCTAATAAATACATTTTCTCAAGTTGAATCTTTTGTTAAATAATAAGCAGCTAGTTTGAAAACTCACCTGAATGAACAACAGCTGTGCAGGAAAAAAAACAAATGTCAAAAATTGTAACTGATCTTCATCGGGTATTAAAATAAATCATAAATAAAAATATCCAGTAATATATTAAAGATACACTCCTAAGACCTAAATGTGTTTCACTACAGCTAACAGAAAGCCACGTGTACATCAAACATCCTTTTTCTGTTCTTTCTGACAGGATGAATTTTTGAAGAGATACTTAAAATCATAAAGCACGTGCACATTAACAGCTCTTTCAATGAAACACTTTTTATATTTTGTGAATCTAGGTAAACATTTTTTAATGACTTTCAGACCATAAAAAGACCAAAAACACATTTTATTTAAGTCCCGTTGGCCCATTTTGTTAAATAAAAGAAAAAGTTTAAACCAAAGAAGGAAGAGAGCAAATGTTGTTTTAAAACATGTTCAGGTATCACATTTAAAGGAAATCATTTGAATTTAATATGATTAGGAGAAATGTGCATTTTTTTTTAATCCAACGGGGAACATGTGATACTGAGCACAAGTAAAAGTATGACATACATTTCTAACATTAATCTGCAGCATCGGTCAAGGATTCAGGTTGAAGGAATGACAACATTTTCTAACTAAATAAGTATAAATGAAGAAACCCAAAACCTGATGGAAAGCAGTGACTCGCTTCCAGCTATATTCTTATTTGTATTAAAGGAGCAAACTAACAAGTAGGCACAGGCAAACTATTACACTGAAGCAAACAAACGTTCTGAGTGTTTTTAATAGTTGAAACTAAACAGCAAAGCCTCCCAAAGGCTTCAGTGTGACAGCTGAACAGTGTCTGACAGGAAGAGCTTCCCCTGTTTCAGACAATATCTGGCTGCCAGGTTTTACTCTACCTGCCTCAAGAAAGGTGACGGCTACCGGGGGAGGTCGTCACCACCGTGGGAGGCAGGGGTCTGTGCAAAGAACATCGCACGTGACACTCCCGAGCCTCCAGGAGCCACGCCTTTTCATTCTTTGAGTTGCTTTCTGCAGCTTGTTGTACCCACAGGCAACAGGCTGGGCCAGGGGCAGCTTCACAAGGCTGCACAGGAGAACATCGAAGCATCAATCACATGTCTAAGTATCATCTTGGCTGTTGGGTTTCATTGTGAGCAACTTGCACAACACCCGGGTGTTTTTATTATTCAGTTTTATTTCAAAACATTTAGCACATTGAAATAGATTATTTCCAAATACTGTTAACATTCCTAACTTAAAACCAAAGCTGGATTTCCCTGCAGATAAGCCTGAATCATACTGAAATATAACAACGACAAAGGCTTCCAGGTGTGATCCTGGAAGCCATAATGAATAACTACACTGAACAATTCCTCTTTCAAACATCGGTCCCTCGGTGGATTCTCCTGCCTGCTAAACGAGGCAGTCCAAGTGTCTCTGCTGATGAGCGACAATGTTTTTAATCCTTGCAGCAGGTCAGGTCCACCTTCCTGTTTGCAGGCTCACCACAGGATCCAAATCATCTCCTCTATTTTCAAAGGCTTGAAGTGTCGCTGGTGTGTCCAACTGCGAGGAGTTTCCACGTTTCACGGGTTCATTTCTTCCCCATGATGAAGCTGGGCGCTTCATCCTCAGCTTCTCTTTCGTCTTCCTCGTCTTCATCCTTGCTTTCGTCCTCCTCCTCGCTCTCGGAGCTCTTGTCGTCTCCCTCCTTCTTGCTTTTAGTTTCACGTTTAGCTTTCTTCGCCAGGAGCTTCTTCTGCTTCATCTTCTCTCGCTTCTTCCGCCGCTTCGCTGTCCTCTCTTCGGCGGCCTCTTTGTTCCGCTCCAGTTTTTCCAGGTACTCCTCGTCCTTAGTTTGCTTCTCTGATATCTTGTCCAGAAAGTCCTGTCTCTGGTACTCTCTGCGGCGGAGGTGGCGATAAACGTGGAACTCTCCGCTGCCTGCACCCGCGCTGGAGCCCATCACGTCCCGGACGAACTCCGGCGGGGCTCGCGGGTTCCATTCTTTGGGTCGGTCCGGGATCGGCGCGAGCTTATCTGGGTTTCGCATCAACTTCTCCAGTTTCAGACGCTGTTCCTCCGCCGGTGTTTTGGCGATAATGAGAGGCTGAGCCTCTTTCCCTCCAGGTTTCCCCGGTTTGTTATTCTTCTGCGTGGGCGCCGCCATCTTTCAAACAGTTACCCTCTTCTTCCTGTGAATGTAAAATGCTCCGGAAGTCCTTTTCTGCTTCTGTGACCTGAATTTTTTTTTTTTTTTTTATAATGTTTTATTTTATCAAAGAAAACATGCCATATTCATATACATGACATGTGAATTCCACATTATTCTTATTTTTATTGTAACATTGTTACTATTATATTTTCTAACACAATAACTTTAAACGTCTTACATTCGCCAGCGTTGAATGACGTGTGACGCCACCATTAGCAAATCAGACTCGGCGAAGACTGGGCGAAGCTGTCCAATCACCATTCACGTAAACGCCCCTCATCGTAACAGTGAGGCGACAGTAGTTTGACTGGCTGTTTTTACTCCGACTCTGGCCCGTCTGTAGGACGTTTCTTCTCCTCTTGTAACGAGATAATTGAACACAAACCATGAACAGTTTATTCCGATCCGCTGCTCGGTGTCTCCGCTCGGGTCCGGCTGTCTACCTGCCCAGACAAACCGACGGCCGCTCGCAGTGGGCCTCAGTCCGGCTCCTGTGCTCGGCGGCGGATCTCCAGAAAGACCTCGGTGAGATGGTGAAGAAGGACAAAGTGGTGGTGTTTATGAAAGGCACGCCGGCGCAGCCCATGTGCGGCTTCAGTAACGCTGTGGTTCAGATCCTCCGGATGCACGGCGTGGACAACTACGCAGCGTACAACGTGTTGGAGGACCAGGACCTCAGACAAGGTCAGTAACCCGGAGTCTGCCTGACAGCAACAGGTTGTCACCTCTCAGGTGAACGTGTACCGTTTTGGTTACTTTGTAACCGGCAGAAAAAGCGTCACATGCTGGGTGCAGCTCATTTAAACATCCTTGAAGTGTCGGGTCCTGATCGTTACCTCATTCAAAGCAGCATGCGGTTAGGATAGCTGTCAACGGCACTCCATGGCCAGTTTTTATCAGTGTTGTGCAGCAGCACCAAAGGGTGGGGTAACGTTAGCATCGGTATCAAAGTCCCGGCCTCTGTCAGGACTCGATCCCCATTGTTCCGATAATGACACGAGACATGTCGGAGAGCAGGGAAGCGTCCTCACAGATGACATCAGCAATATGTGCTCCTGTTGTCCTGTCTACGTGTCTTTAACCACGTTTAGAGTGAAATACCTGATAATGGCCGATTGGATCAATTTACATATTGTTATATAGTCTGAATGTTGTATTTTACAGCCGCATCTGGACACTAACAAACATAATACTGATGTTAAAGGGCTTAAAGGGGGGGGTTAAGAGAAGAGGCTCTTCCAGTGTGTTTTCTCCTGGCTTCCTCCCCTCACCCCCAACCACTCACAGATGGCCCCTCACTGAACCTGGTTCTGCCTTCCTGCTAAAAGGCAGTTCATCTTTCCCTCTTCCATCTATGGTTTGCTCATAAGGGTCGCCTGATTGTTGGGATTTTTCTCTCCATTATTTACTTTACAGTATAAAGTGCCTGGAGGCCACTGTTGTTGCACTAAATGAATAGATCTGAATTGGTTTGGAGACCCTTTGCTGTGAGTGTGGAGGTTTGTGCTTTTGCTACAGTTTCAGTGGGTAGAAAAAAAAACCCCACCCCTCAGATTTTCCTTAAAAATGCTAATGAGGCATGTAACCAAACTGCTACGCCTAATTTTAAAACCCACGAGGTGTTCAGAGAAACAGGACTGGTAGTATTAACGCTGTCTGCCTTCCACAGGAGTCAAAGACTTCTCCAACTGGCCCACGATCCCTCAGGTGTACTTCAATGGCGAGTTTGTGGGAGGCTGCGACATCTTTCTGCAGATGCACCAGAACGGAGACCTGGTGGAGGAGCTGAAGAAGCTGGGCATCCGCTCTGCAGTGCTGGACGCAGAGAAAGAGTCCAAGTAATGGACGGGTATAAGCGTGACGCGGCTGACTCATCCAAAGGCGCATTTATCAGGTTGAACCCCTCCCCACTGCCGCCGCCACCACCTTTTTTCCAGCACAGCTGAGGGCACCATGGCTCCCATGATGAGAGCGAACCCCAAAGCAAAAGCTGCGGGCCAAATGAAAGCTCCATAGAGCTGAACGATAACATCGTTACAATGAGTCTTTCCATCCTGTTGTAATAAAAAGCTTTAATACTTCTGCACCTCCAAGAAGAACGGTGACATCACCCCCTCACTCCCACCTCAAACTGCCAGCTGACCGCGACAGAGCCGGCTGTGATCACCGTGTTCAAGCTGCCACCTGAGCGCTCTCACCTGGTTACATCAGTCCTCTGCGATCTTCCCCTCGCCGCTGTCCTCCACGCTCAGTGTAAGACCAGATGAGCTTTAGACTTGCCTAACTGTACCACGCCTAAGTTAAGGTCATTATTCATGCTGCCTGGGCCTCATCGGCTAATGATGTCATCACGCTCTTAAATGCACTGCCTGTAGTTTCAGGAAACAGAACAAAGAGGGGACAACGTGGCTTCGTGCTGGTATGAATATCTTCTCTTTAATGAAGCCACTGATAATCTAGCAGTTTTTTAGTGGCCGTAGCTGCAGAATCGATCACTGGACAGTCCCCTGTTTGTTCTTCCTGCCTGGAACCACGTGGAAACCGTCAATGTCAGGATCCGCTGAAACGTAACGTACCTGATACCTTATGTCCTTTTTTCTTTTTTTAAAACCACCCTGAAGATGAGATTACTGCACACGTGTACCAGCCGAAGCAGTTAATGTTGCATCTGTCTGTATTTCACTCTGAAGGTGAAGTGTTGTTTTAGTTGTTTTTTCCAGACACCTCACATTTATCAGTCGTAGGTGATCCTCCTGCTGCAGACAGTTGTATTATCAAAGCAACACGTAGTACACTGTAAGATATTGTACAGCTTATTATTAGATGTACTTCTGACGCGTGTAATCAATTCTGCACTGATTAAATATTTTGTGACACATGAGTTGTCGGTGTCGTGCCTCATGCATGTGGGTCTTTTGTCAGCGGGGTTACTCACAGTAGTTTTTACTGTGAGCTGGGCCAGACTTGCAGTAATGTGCAGACGTCATGAGCCACATCACTTCCTTGGGTTTTACTAAGAATTTGAGAAATGGGTGTTTTAATTTTTTGATTATTTTTTTAAACATTTTTAAATGCACTAGAAAACAGTTTATAAGACAAACTGACTTTGTACAAGTTTGAACCTGCTGGAATATTTGTTGTGACCGTCTTTACTTTTCAGCTTTCTTCTCATTTCTCTAAGTATCCTCCAAAAATAGTTCTGCAGGCTTCTTGAACATTCAAAGATCTTTTTGGATCTTGGCTTTCTCTGTCAGGATCATCCCACATTGCTTCAATGATGTTGAGGTCGGGGCTCTGGGGAGGCCAGTCCGTGACTGCTGGTGTCCCACTGTGTGTTTTTCTGTGCAGGTGTTTCCCGGCTCCTGTGTCAGCTTAATACAGTTTGTTTTTTCTAATTCTTGTGAACATGACTCAGATACCGTTCATCTGCTATAAATGCGTTTATAGGTCAGAAACTTCTTCTTTTGTCTAACTTGGACTCATTTTTTAAGAATTCGTTGCACAACATGCTGACGTAAATCAAATATGACATTTTGGCTCCACATGTGAAGGAAAAGTGAACTAAACAAAAAGGTGCTACACATGAACGTTTTCAGTATCTGAATCTGGCTTCAGGGATTTCTGACAGGACTCTTCATCACTGTGAGATTGGGAAAAGTTACACGCAAATGTTAAAAGGCAAAACTTTCACACGGTGTCTCGGTAAGTGCACATCAAGCTGAAAAACTGTGTCTGAGTCCAGGCCAAATTCAAATGCCAAACACACTCAGTGTAAAACATCTGGAGTCTATGTAGTTGGAAGAATATCACAGAACCTGGTTCTGAGACACGAAGCTGCTGTCAAAGTGCCTTAAACTGGTATTCTCCATAGTGGTCAGCAGGGGGCGGGAGGAAATGGTTGTTTGTTTCCTCACCAGAGAAACAGAGCATTTCCAGAAGAGAGAGAGAGTGTGTGTGTGTGTGTGTGTGTGTGTGTGTGTGTGTGTGTGTGTGTGTGTGTGTGTGGAAACAGCAAACCACTGAACACTGACAGAGGCCCTGGTGTGTTCAGGGAGCCCAGCTTAAATATGCAGCCATCATTCCTGTTGAACATGTTTACTGTGCATTTCCTCTTGTGTCATGTCGGCGTGTGCTGGGAAAACACACCTGCTGTTACTCAGTTTCAGGAAGGAACACTTCTGAGGAATGTGAGTAAAGCGCTTTCCTCATTCTATCCTGTGCAAATGTAACCGGGTCATAAATGACATATTGTTATAATTACACAAAATGTGTTCTAGACCCCAAACCCTTCCTGTTATACCCGACTGTTAGGACCTTCAAGCCTGTAGTTTTGTTCATTCTCAGTTGGAGCCCCTCCTCACTGTTCTTCTTCTTTGGTGCACCCCTATAAACAGTGCTCCCCTTTGGCCTCTCCCCTTTTCTACAATTCCCCTGTGGGGGAGGTCGGTGTCGTCCCCAACACTGCAACACATAATGTATATTTAGCCACCCTGATATTTCTGATTGTGTCTTTAGTTCAGTCATTGTGTCTGTCTTTGCTAGATGCTGTAAATGTAAATGTGCAGTACGTGTGTGTCACATGTGTTATAGGCACAGTCAGTGCTAGCATGAACAGGTCATTCTTGCTAGCTTGGGAGTTGTGGTGGGTGGAGCTGACCCTCTTCCCTACTGTTTGCATTTGGTTGTAGGAGCTGGAGCGAGGTCTTGGTTTCTTTTACCCTTCATTGTCAGACAACGCAGGAACACACCGGCTACACAAAGCCCGGGCTCGTGAGCAACGTCTCAGCTTCCACTATTAAAGCTTTCCTAAGACTAAGTGATGAACGACAGTCACTGTACGATTCTGGAAAACTTTTAAATACAAAATAATACATGTGCGAGTTTTATAAAATAAAACCAAACAATGCTGTACAGTGAAACGACTGTAAATATGGCCGTTGAGCATCCACACCTTCCCCTCCGCTTCTCTCCATAATCCAGTGACGCAGAAACACTGTTAGAAACTAACAGCCAGGATTCAGCTCAGAGTTTCTGCAGGAAGCGCAGCACCAGGTCCCTGAGCGTGGTCCTCAGTGGCTCACTGTCACAGACGATATGCGTCCCGTCCTCCTCCAGCTGAATGAGCGTGTCCTCCGCCTGCAGGTGCAGGATGTGCCCGTCTGCAGTTTCCTCCACTTTAACTTCTGTGATCCCGTGCTGCAAATGAGCACATAACAAGTTAGCATTAAGTTAGTGCTACTATCACAGCACACTGATAGCCCTCTCGCTCACATTTCCCACCTTCTGCAAAGTGGCCAGAAAAGCCTCCAGGGCCACAGCTCCACTCAGCATGGGTTTAGGGGCCAACGCTACGGGGGGTTCCTCAATCACCCGCTTCCTCTTCTTGCTGGGGGGCATGGGAGGGGGTTTGGGCACCGACTGGGAACAAATGAAAGACAAATGCAGCTGAGCTCTGATCAGCTGATTCTCTAATGGAAGTGCAAGCATTCTGGGCTCACCTGTAACGTGTGCTTGTTGTCCTTTGAGTGCAGCAACGCAGACACGGTCGCCACAGAGACGCCGGGTTTGATCTCAGAGGGCACCAGGGAGTTGGCCAGCTAGGAAGAGAAGAATACGACTCTCAGCAATTAAAACCGTCCGCCTGCTTTCTGACAGCGAGAGGATTTCTCAATAAAAACAGCTGATCAAACGCCATGTTGTCATAGTGATCAGAGAATTCACCAGATACAACAGATACTCTGTGGCCAGAAACTCAGATCCATCTCTGAGGAGTTTTGACTTCCTTCTCTTCGGGGCCTCACCTCAGGCAGGATGTAGATGCGTTCGTAGCGGCGTCTGAAGGGCAGGTTGAGAACAGAGCAGCGTCTGTAGGGCATAGGAGGAGGCTGCAGCTCCAACATCAGGTCGGAGCGGTGGGACTGGGTCAGAGGAGGCTGGGTGTACTGCTCGGGACACACCACGTGGAGAGGCTGCAGGAAGAAGACACGGCTTTTACACACAGAGTACAAATGTGAGCGGCTGAAGCTGGCTTTGTTAACATTTAAATTAAGGCTACAGCTAAACGAGAACTAGTGCTGCGAATGGGCCATCCTGGAACTACAGGGATGCTTCGATCAAATCCCTCAAATCTTAAGCAAGACCCGCTGCTTCCCTGAGCTCTGCCCTGAACGCTCACATTGTTCTGCCATTTTATTTGTATATTGTCTGTTAACTTGGAAATCTGCTTTCCATTCTCCCGTTTCACCCACAGCGCTCTCACAGACTCAGTCACTATGGCACAGCACAGTTCTAGCATCATGATGCAGCCTTTCCCTCCTCATCGTAGAATCATCGTTCCTTAGTCTCGGCTCTATTTCTGTGTATTTCTCTCATAATCAGATCAGGTGCTAACAGCATACCTGGACTTCCTTGAGCAGCTTTGATACTTGGTGGAAGTTGAGCCGTGTGTCAATGGGACAGTAAACGCACTTCATGGCTAACGGCTGGTACGGAGCCAGGGCATCCAGGTAGGAGAAGTCCGGCTCTGAGTGAGAAAGATCAGGCACTCAGGACATTACCAGCTCAGGCTTTCCTTGTTTTAGTCACGTGTGAGAGATGTAGCGATAGCTGTAATTACCAGTAAAGATGATGGTGTTAAGGCTGGATTTGCCCCAGAGCTCCATGAAGTGAACGACGTCCCCGAAGCGCAGAGAGGGGTGACCGGTGAAAACCACGCAGGGCTGACGGAACTCGCTGCTGAAGTCTCCGTGAATGCTGGGGTAGTGCTTCAGCTTGTTGGTTTGGATGAGCTGAAACATCAGCAGCACATTCAAGCACCAGTTTATCAACGTGACCTCGTCACCAGCTCCACAGGTGTACTTGTGTTTTCATCCTGGTATCTTTGTATCAGTCGACTCTGCTTTTTAAAACGTGTGTTAGAG